TGTCGTACGGATATGACGATGATTCCAAAAGGAAGAAGAGGATTTTTGTTATCTCAATCTCCTCCGTTCTTTTGATCTCGATGGTGGTTGCTGTTACCGTCGGCGTCACCCTTAACAAGAACGATGGTAAAGACTCTGAAGGTAAGGGAGAGATAACAGCTTCCGTTAAAGCCGTCAAAGACGTTTGTGCACCAACCGATTACAAAAAGACTTGTGAAGACACTCTGATAAAGAACAGTAAGAACACAACCGACCCGATGGAGTTGGTTAAGACCGTGTTTAGTGTTACAATGAAGCAGATCACGGACGCGGCTAAGAAGTCGCAAACGTTGATCGAGCTTCAAAAGGATCCAAGAACGAGGATGGCTCTTGATCAATGCAAGGAGTTGATGGATTACGCGTTAGGTGAGCTTACCAACTCTTTCGAGGAGCTTGGGAAGTTTGAGTTCCATAAGCTCGACGAGGCTTTGATCAATCTAAGGATTTGGCTCAGCGCGGCGATCAGCCACGAGGAGACATGTCTTGAAGGGTTTCAAGATACCAAGGGAAATGCAGGAGAGACGATGAAGAAAGCTTTAAAAACCGCTATCGAGTTGACTCACAATGGGCTAGCGATCATCAGCGAGATGTCAAATTTTGTGGGACAAATGCAGATTCCAGGGCTCAACAGCCGCCGACTTCTGGCTGAAGACGTTCCCTCGTGGGTGGACCAGCGTGGACGTAGGCTCCTACAAGAAGCTGCCGCGTATTCGGATGCTAAGCCTGATATCATTGTTGCTCAGGACGGAAGCGGTCAGTACACAACGATTCACGCCGCTTTGAAAGATGTCCCAAAGAAGAAGAACACGACTTTCGTTGTTTACATTAAGGCTGGTCTTTACAAGGAATACGTTCAGGTGAACAAGAGCATGACGCATCTTGTCTTCATTGGTGATGGTCCCGACAAAACCATCATTTCTGGCAACAAGAATTACAAGGACGGTATCACAACCTACCGTACCGCAACTGTTGGTATGATATATTTGATGTTTTTTTTATTTAATAGCTTATAAAGTTTTATGATTCATATATACAAATTAACCTAATGGTTATTGCAGCTATTATTGGAGACTACTTCATTGCCAAGAACATTGGATTCGAAAACACCGCTGGAGCAATAAAACATCAAGCGGTTGCAGTTAGGGTTCAATCAGATGAGGCAATATTTTTCAATTGTAGATTTGATGGCTACCAAGACACGCTCTACACTCACTCCCACCGTCAGTTCTTCCGTGATTGTACCATCTCAGGCACAATTGATTTTCTATTTGGAGACTCAGCTGCTGTATTCCAAAACTGTACTTTGTTGGTGAGAAAGCCACTCTCAAATCAGGCATGTCCAATCACAGCCCACGGTCGTAAAGACCCGAGAGAATCCACTGGATTTGTGTTCCAAGGATGCACAATTGCTGGCGAACCAGATTACTTGGCTGTCAAGGAAACTAGCAAAGCTTATCTCGGAAGGCCATGGAGGGAGTATTCAAGAACAATTATCATGAACACTTTCATCCCTGATTTCGTCCAGCCACAAGGATGGCTACCATGGCTAGGAGACTTCGGTCTCAAGACATTGTTCTACTCTGAGGTTCAAAATACAGGACCAGGAGCAGCCCTAGCAAACCGTGTTACTTGGGCTGGAGTCAAGCAACTGAGCGACGAAGATATCCTCAAGTTCACACCGGCTCAATACATCCAAAGTGATGACTGGGTTCCTGGCAAAGGTGTTCCTTACACTTCTGGACTTTTGGCTGGCAACCCGGCTGCTGCAACCACCATCTCGAGAAGCTCATATGCTTCTGGTAGTTTCTCCTCCTTCACGGATACAAATGGCGTTGATTCGATTTCTCCAGCAGCTTCTCCAGCAGCTTCTCTAGCTGCTTCCCTAGAAACTTCACAAGAAGTTTCAGTTAAAATGGGTTCGGATGAGAGGATCGTTACCATGATTTCAAAGGGTTAAACAACAAAGATGCTTGTGTGTGTTTTTCTTACTCTAATTCAAGAAAACCTGAAAACAAAAAATGTTTGCACTACCTTGAGGATTCCAGGATTGTTGATCTATCAAATTGTTGAGATTAATGTTTAGCTTTGTAAACTCATGTTTAATATCGCATACATTAAATATGCTGTTTATAAATCAATTATAATTAACTAGTATATGCTTTTTAGTGTACTCCCGCCAGATCTTTTTAAATAAAAGTTGAGTGTCTCTCACAAAAAATTGACACCTAAGCATTTCTTATTTTAATACATCATATTTCTCAGAGAAAAAAAAAAATTTTGAAAAAATTGATACAAATAAATTTATTATGTTATAATTTTTTTTTTCGTTTCTTTAAACAAGAGTTTATCAAAATATAATTAATTATTTATCTTAGATGATGTTTAATTTTTCAAAAAAAAAAAACTTAATTTTAATCGCTAGTTTCAAGATATTTTTTGTTTGACATCTAAATATGGTTCAACTCAAAGTTAATGATAGTTGATCGGCGTAATATTAAATTGTAAATAAGTTGCATAATTAAGTCTATTAACAGTTAGATTGAGTGTTGTTTGGTTTTTATTATTCATGCTTTCATTTGCATCCACAGTTGCAAAGTAAAACATAAATCCAAATTTCATTATTCAAAATTTGTTTAGCAAAATATTAGAAATAACTTTAATAAGATATATTGCATATTTGCCTGTAATTTATCTATCCTCTCTCTATCTTAAAGGAAAGATGAATTTTGTCAGAAGACTGAATGAAGTAGTTACAACTAACTTCATTTGTTATAACTATTGAGGCAATAAAAGAAATTAGTTTCTCAAGGTAAGTTTTGCATGCACACAATCTGTCAATCTCTATGGATTTAGTTGTCCGCATTTACTCCAATTGGCTCTTCGTCGTCACCAATCTTCTTTCGAGAAGCTCAACATTAAATAAATGCCTCCATTTACGCTATTGTCTCTAAAGTATAAGTGCTTGATTTATTGTGAACGTTCTACTCGCCGTGTGTTTAGCTATTTCTAATTTAGTACTCTCTCTTCCCTCTGTTCCATGAAGATTGATGTTCTACCTTTTTTTGTTGTTCCACAAAGATTGATATTCTAACATTTTTTATTGATTAGTATTAACAAATTGTAAACTTCAAAAAATATTAAATGAAGATATTTGAATTTATAAAATAACTATTGGTTCCTAGTTATTAGAAAATGTTTAGGTGTACTAATAAATAAATATAATTTATTATTTTTTAATTTGTGTAAGACTAGTAGAACATCAATCTTCATGGAACGGAGAGAGTATTAAATTAGCAACAACTAACTAATATATTCCACACGTATATTTGTGTAAAATAGAATTGGTAATCTATGTTGAGCAAAACAGAAAGAAAAAAACTACAAAATGATTTAATTTATGTATTCCATCCGCATGAAATAAAAAAAAAATCCAAATTTATAAATACAGACATTTAAATAAAATGTTGATGTATTTATAACTATTTCTTCGTTGGTTTTCACTTTTCAGTCAATTTATCCATCAACTTATGTTAGCATTTAAAACTAGTATTCTTGATATCTAAGAAAATAGGTAAAGCATCTCCATTGAATATTTTTCAAAAAAATTAAAAAAAAAATTAATACTAAAAATTTCATTAAATTATATTGATGAGATATCTATTCACCAACAGAAAAGCTCTAAAAATTTACCATTTGGACTCATAGATCCCATTACAAAGCTTGGGAACAATTAAGACACTCATAGATCCAACAAAAAAAATGGAAGGATCAGATCACAGAATGGTGAGTGTCAATGGCATAACTATGCACATTGCTGAGCAAGGTCCCAAAGAAGGACCTTTGGTGCTTCTCCTCCATGGATTCCCTGACCTCTGGTACACGTGGCGTCACCAGATTGGTGGGTTATCCTCTCTAGGTTACCGAGCCGTAGCTCCAGACCTCCGAGGCTATGGAGACTCTGAGTCACCGGAATCTTTGTCCGAGTACACATGTCTTAAGGTCGTTGGAGATCTCGTGGCTCTTTTGGACAGAGTTGCTGGAGATCAAGACAAGGTGTTCCTTGTGGCTCATGATTGGGGAGCCATTATTGGATGGTTCCTCTGTTTATTTCGACCTGACAAGATTAAGGGTTTTGTATGTTTGAGTGTGCCTTATATGCCAAGAAACCCTAAGGTTAAACCTGTTCAAGGGTTTAAGGCTGTGTTTGGAGATGATTACTACATTTGTAGATTTCAGGTTTTTGCACTTTAATCTCTTACCAATATAATGAAATCATTCAATTACATTGTTTGATTTGAGTTTTAAAACTGAATTTTTTGCAGGAACCTGGAGAGATTGAAGGAGAGATTGCAAAAGCAGATCCAAGGAGGTTTTTGAGGAACATTTTCACAGTGAGGAAACCCGGTCCGCCGATTTTACCCAAAGATAATCTCTTTGGAGCAAACCAGACAGACCTTAACAATGAATTGCCTGAATGGTTTTCTAAGGAAGATCTTGATTTCTATGTCTCCAAATTCGAAAAGACGGGATTTACTGGTGGATTGAACTACTACAGAGCCATGGATCTGTAAGTTGTTAAACATAAACTTGTGTTTATTACCTCTTAAGAGTTATATCTACTAATCAGTTTCTTGGATAAATGTTCAGGAATTGGGAACTCACTGCAACATGGACCGGAGCTAAGATTCAAGTCCCGGTAAAGTTCATTACCGGTGAGTTCGACATGGTCTACACCACACCGGGGATTAAAGAGTACATTCACGGCGGTCGATTTTCTGAAGATGTTCCTAATCTTCAAGAGATAGTAGTAATTGAAGATGCTGCTCACTTCATCAACCAAGAGAAACCTCAAGAGGTCACTGCTCACATTGACGACTTCTTCACCAAGCTCCAGAACAACAATAAAACCATGTAGGGTTCTTGTTTGGTTATGCTATGTCATGTCTCAGAAAACAATTTGGTTCTTGAACGGGTGTTTCAGCTATGGATTACGAATAAGATATGACATTATAATGCTCAATGTCACTCATGTAGAATCGATTCAGGAATTTCTCTCTTTCGCAATGAACCAAAACTAACAACAACCCTAAGCAGAAATTATATTCTTGGTCATGTTTCATTAACGAAAGATTCAACATAGTAATGCTCAATGTGAAACAAGGACACAACGAATCCAGTAGAAACAAACTTAAAACCAGGTCTTAAACAAGCATAGAAATCACAAGAGTTCTCTAACAAAAATCCGATTACGAAAGAGATCAAGAAGCAACGATACTCCGGAATCAAGTTCAATGGCAGTGAAACCTTTCTTAAACCTTGAATCCACGACTCTTCCTCTTTCCTCTGGCCTTCTCGAACTTCCTTCCCTTGTGCCGAACATATGGCTTTGTGTTACTGTGTGGCACACCAGGAGCAGGTCCGAAATGCTTCACAGCTTCACGCGAGTTCTTAGGTCCTCTAAGAAGAACCTATAACACAACAACAAGTAACATCGAGTTTATATATCTTATCATTACCAAGTTAAAAATGGCAAGAGCGGTTTGGCCAAGAGGAAATACCGTGTTCTGGCCCAATGGAGCTCTGAGAGCAAGCTGATCAAAGGTTAAGCATTCACCACCAGCTTTCTCAATACGAGCTCTAGCTCTCTCTGTGAACCTCAAGGCGGTAACTTTCATAGCTGGAATCTCGTGTACCCTCAAATCATCAGTCACAGTTCCAACCAAAACAGCAATCTTATCTTCCTATTAATATCAAAAGCCACATTCAAAACCTCGTACCATAGACAAGGGCTAGATAAGAGAACAGCAAAGAACACTATATACTGCAGACTAAGTTGGTATCAAGCAGCGTTCACTTAAGATTCACAGATCGGAAACAGATTCTTATGAAATGAAACAAAAGTCGTTATAAAGGTATAACCTTTGATTAGCAGTACTCACTTAAGTTCCCCAAATTGGAAACAGATTCAAAGGATAAATCATAACATAAGGACTAATTTCAAGATGAGAAAGAGAGAGACTTTAAACAAAATGATACCTTGCCGGTCATGAATTCGACGACTCTGGATAGAGAAAGAGGAGCTTTGTTGACTTTGCTCATGAAAAGCCTCTTCAATATCACCGCATTGAACTTGCTCTCGGTCCTCCTTACAAGAAACCGGTAAAGCTGCCAAATTTCAACACAAAATGTTCAAAATCTTCTTAAAGTTTCCACCTTTGAATAGAAAAGTGCCAATGATAATAAAGACTCATGTTAAAGTACGGACCTTGACGGTAAGCTTGAGGTAGACATCATCGGACTTGGGAGCTGTCCTTTTAGTCTTCTTGCTCTTACCTCCAGCGATCAAATCAATACCCTAACAAAAAAACGACCAAATGATCTCAGAATCAACACTGGAAAATGTCACAATGAATAAACCAAATCCAGAATCCAAGTATTTCACATTCGAAAGACACAACAGTCGACAATGGAAACTTCAAAAACCAAACCCAGAAACATGGTAACAAGTTTTGCAAGAGAGAAATGCAGAGATCGGAGATTGAGAGAGAAAGGAAAACGGAAAGTACCATGGTGGCGCCGCGCGGTCGCTTCTTCTGCAGAGGAAAAACGAAACAAGGGTTTTGTAAAATGATTTATAGTATCGATTTTGTTAGGGTTTGTTTTGTTCATTTACTTTATGGACTCAAAATATAAGCCCAATATTTTTTAACAGTTTTAACTTGGACCATCTGATGATAAAAAGCCCCATAATATGTCACGTAGCTAGCTTTTTGTACACAGACACGTGACTATTGCAAGATTAATTATAATTTTTTTGTATAAATTTATACATATTTTTCCAAGACGTTATGTATATACATACCAGGTTTTTGATATAAAATTTGGTATAAATTTTAATGAATTTTATGCTTTAAGCACCATTGAAAATAGTTCAAATTGTGTGATAGAATATTTTATAACCATGATCAAATATTTTATAACCCGTGAAAAAACGAAATTCAAAAAATTAAAAAAAATAAATAAATCACCAATGAAAATAAACAAAATAAAATCAAAAAACTTGATATAAAATAATTTAAAAATTCCTTTTTTATCTTGGTTGTTTTTCTTATTTCATTTTCAAGTAATTCCTAAATTTTTGTCCCGTAATTAGATTTTTTTATTCATGTATGAAGTAATTTGTTTTTACTACTTCACTACTCTATTTTTTTTTACAAAAAATTGAATTACTTTCTCATTTTCCTATTTGAACTTTTCAATTCTATAAATATCTTATAATATGTGAAAAATAACAAAATTGAAAAGTGTAAAACCACTAATAGAAAAATCGCACCGTTATTAACTTGTTTTAACTATTTTTATTGCTATATAATAAGATCACATTTTTTCATTTAAAATTTTGTCAAATATTTCTAAATAATTAGTTTTTTCTATTCCTAATTGAATTAGGTAATTTTTTTATGTATCTACCATTTTTCAAAAAATTTACGAATTAAATCTCATATAGTTGCAAATTAAAATTGCAAATTTTTTTAAATATTTTTTCACATAATTGATTTCCAAATTTTGCAAGAAGCGAATGATACACAAAATTTTAGTTTGCAATTTGCAAGAAACGGATAAAAATACTACAATTAGATCATCATAATCTATCTCACCAATTGAATAAGAGGATAATTGATGTTATTTATAATTAAAAAAATCTGAAATAAAATTCGTGGAAAAGATTATCAAAGTTTAAAATTGTTTGGTGAGAAGATTAAGAGAGCACAAATGCTTATTATATAAAAAATATTATAATCTATAACGATTTGGGTATGTAAACCTAAGTCTATTTGAACTAAACATGTATTATTAATATTGAAGAACAACTTTGATATATATATATTGATTTTTATAATCTACTTGATAAATTTAAATATATAAATTTGAAAAGAAATAAGATTTGTATGATATATGTGGCAAAATTTAATTGAAATTTTTTTAACACGTGTCAAAATCTAATCGATCAACTGACACGTGTCACGATTTTATTATGTATATATAGTATCGTAACTTAGTATTAACAACATAATACTTGTATTTTCTTGTTATATAGTTTCAGTCTTTAACACTATATATCACTAGTATTAAAGCCCATGCATATGCACGGACATAGATTCCCACATGCGGCCGTAGATTTAAGAAACTTTGGGTTATAAAACAATCACTTCCCAACTTCATATGCACAGGTATGATTCCGGTTTGTTGCATTATTAAGTAATTAATATATGAGAATTGATTATGTTAGTATATTTATAAATCAAGACTTACATATGCAGATATGCTTATGATATACGATTATTCAACTCCAAGATAAAGTATGTTTATAAAAAAAGAAACATCGGCCACAACGAACTAATGTAAGTGTCAAACCCCAACTTCTCTCCTTGATATCTGACATTTTAACACATCCGTCACAAGTGGATTTCTAATCCCATCTGCATACAAAATAATCAATATATCATTTAAATAAATATATATAGAGGATATGTAGTTAGTACTAACGTTTTAAAACATAATTGATATGAACAGGGATAACATAAGAAATGAAATCAACGTGAAGGTGTTAATCTTATGCTTATTATTTCTGTCTAAGATAATCAAAGCAAAAAAACGGAGTATAAAAGAAAAAGAGAAAATAGTTTAACTGAAAAAGGGTATAGAATTCAGCCTAAATATTGTTGATCCAAGCAGGTCGACAATGAATTTATAATAGATCAGAGGTCGGAGATCCTCGTATATAGAAAGTTAAGTCGAAGAGGTTTAAATACARGTAGATCGCTAAAGATAGWYCGGACAGATYYCRTGCTATCARTTCGCTAGTTAAGAGATCGTGGCAGATCGGACAGACTCCGAACTGCTAGACTTTCGATAAAGAGTAGAACTTAGAGAGCTCGCGAGTGGCTGGGTTTGCAATTGTTGTTTGGTCGTTTTTTTCTCCTCTTCTTACACCACCCTTTGACCTCTATTTATAGTGAAGGGCGGCGGGTTTAACCTGAGTTCAGCTGACCATGGTTGATCTGATATACCCCTGTTTTGACCAARCTYAGTTCGGATATGCCTTAARTGTGATCAGACCGWGGTTAACAGTTRGAGTGGGCCTYTGGCAGCCCGCTGGGCTTCTCCCGAACTCGCTGGGCCTCTGCCTCCTTTGGTGGTTTGCGACTTGCGATCTGCTCAGGATGTTGGGCCGCAGGTCTGGGCCCAACAAATATGTCACTTGATTAAGCTCTTAAGAGACAATAATAGAAGTAAGTGGTTGCCAAGAGTTTTAAGATTTAAAATGTCAAATAATGTAAAACCGAAAATCAATAAAAAAAATGTTTTAAGCTTGATCAGGTTGCTTGTAAGAGTACTTACTTTTCTTAATCAAAAAAATGTTTTCTGATTATGAGATTGTGCTCCATCTCCTCTCAGTTTTATGAATACTAATCATCTGCTAAACATGGAGTAAAATAATAATAATATACTTTGTCTTACTAACAAATGAATTAGAATAGTAATAACTAATTGTTAGAAAGAAGAGGTACTCACATATACTATAGGAATTGAGAAGTCTTCTCCAGTTTCCCTTCACCAATATATTTGGCCTTCAAGTCAAAATCAGCAAGTTAATTTACTCAATTTTTTAATCTCCAAAGAAAAGATCGATTACTCTTGTCCGGGATTTTAAAGATAAAAATTATCTGAGAAAAAAAGATGAATTTCATTGATTTAAATATGTAGAGAAAGAGATGATGCGATTTCAACGATCTTGAGATCATGGAGTGTTAACTCTGAAAATTTAGGGATTTTTACAATGATTTTGTTTTACCCATGCTAAGAGGAAGTTATTGTTTTCTTTCGATAGAGTACAATTGTTTTTTTTTTTGAAAAACTGTTTTTTATATAGTTAATTTG